GACCAGGAACAATGATTAGATCTTGTACAAGTTCCAATTTACTTTTGCATTTTTGATTCTGGAGCTTGGCTTACTCACCTTGTATTTACTGTAAATCAGTTCCGGGAAGGTGGAGTAAATTGTATCATGAGACCTTTGTTAGGGAATAATATTTTTCATGTATGTGAAAATAAGGAAACTGATCACCTCCTTAAAATCAGGGGCAACGTGACCATCAATTCAGCTGAGTCAAACAACACAGTGGAACCTTAATAGTTTTTGGTAGTTTTTCAGTCTGAAATGTGCTCTTCCCTAGATTATTTTTTAAAATGGTCTGCGGATGGTCCAGAGTTTGCTCACCACATCACACATTTAAAAAAAACGAACCAACCCAAAACCTGGCCAGTGTGTCTGCAGAGTGCTGGAGTTCCTGCGGATGCCACGGGCGGAGAGGCCATGGGCATGTGTTGCTGGGACTCGCTCGCTGTCCTCTTCAAACATGCCCGGGGAACTCGTCTGTACCTGAATAAAGCCCACGATGACTGACCTCATCGGTGTGGAACAGCTAAAGCCACCAAAAAAAAAAAAATAGTAGTTACACTTCATCAGAGCTGAGCTACTGTTTCTTTTATGGTCCCGTGTAAATCGTTTTACTGCTATGGAATACTGCTCGTGAGACCAGTGAGCAGATGAATGTGAAAGTCACTTCTCTGTCACACTGGTTTTTCCCTTCCTCCTGGTAGTCAACATTTTTGGAAATTATAAAGTGGAATCCCCGGGATCCCTGGAGGGGTTCAAGAGTCGGGCTGACCCAGAGCTGAGGGATCTGGGGGAGCTGGGAAGGGTCAGGGTGAGGGTCACAGTTGGGCTGGAGGAGCTTCAAGGGCTTTTCCAACCTGGATGGTTCTGTGGTTCCGGGGATGAGGACGGGTTCCAGGGGCCATATACCGGAAGTGTTTATTCACTACAGCCTGAGAGGGTTGGGAGATGAGGCACATGCTGGGGCGTGAGCCCCTGTGAGGCCACACAGAGACCGGGGGCCTCCCAGCAGATGGCGCGGAAAGCTGAAGCACTCGGGCCAAAGCAGCAGCCGCGCTGCCGGCGCGGGGCCGCGGGGCAGTGCCCGCACCTGAGGGAAGCGGCTCCGCCTGGTGCCCCGGAACCGGCCCC